TGCTATTAGCCAAAATTTTATTTAAAATTAATTTTACTATATTATGATTAAATATTTATTCTATTATTATTTTTTAACTTTAATGAACTTTGAAATATTTAAAAAAAAATTATTTCGAAAATTTTCAAAATATTTTTGAGTTTTTCAAATAATTTCTTAATTTATTTCACCTTATTTGCACTCCACATATTTAGATAAATTCTTTGCTTTATTTCAAAATATTTTCGCTAGCAATAATTTTGAAAAAAATTTTTCACAATATTGTAAAAATTTTTTCATAGTGCAATAATTTCAAAATTTATTTCACAATATTTCAAAAGAAAATAACTTTGAATAACTAATGGTGATAATATCGGTTGTATAAATAAATAAATAATTATGTAATATAAATAATTATATAAAATAAAGAATCATGTAACATATATTTTTATATTAAAATTTATAATACAGTGTATAGTAATAGGGTTTCAATCTGGTTTTATATATACGGCTGCATATTATACATGTCAACATCAGTATATTAGAAATTAAACTGTTACGAATTTTTCATTGTTAATTCTTCTTGCAAATATTAGATTGCGTGACTTTTTATTCAAGACCTAGAGACTATATAATAGTAACTTTGCTATCTAAAATTAAAGTATGTTAATGTGAATTTGATATGCCTACTTGCAAAAAGTAATGATAGTTAGATAAGTAATTAGTATAAAATACGCAAATTAATAAAAAACAAGAATACAGGACATTTTACGTGATTACATAGTAATGATTTTATTATCGTAGTAATTAAAACTCTGCACCTTGTTGACATGTAAATAAATTATTAATGCAAGTATCTTTTATTTAATGTTTCTCTCAATTAATGCACTTTATCACTTCTCTTTAACTAATAAATACTATACTTAAATAAACTGATTATGAAAAGTATGTAAGAACATTTTTCATTTCATACTTTATTTTAACTACTGACATCTTTTTTGCTTTAACTACTTATTTATTTCTTTTACTTTGAATTTGGGTTAGGCTTTTTTATCGAAGATAACTATGAAGACGAACTACCTGTTTTTCTTGAAAATACTGCAGAATATAACCTCTTGGTAGAACAAAACAATAATTACATGATAGGGCGTGAAAGTATTATAGACCTTGCACAGCATAGTGAAGTAATAGAAAATAACGAAATTTATACAGAAGATAGTCAAAATTCAAACATAGAGTTAGAAAATGTCACTCATATTAGTGTTGGTGACACCTTTTTTTCATAGAAAGTAGCTGAAACACAACTTAATCAATATGCAAGATCAGTTGGATTTTATTTACATCATAAATGAGTTGAAATTGATGTTGACGGAATTGTTCGTCAATGAACATTTGAATGTAGTTTTTCTGGTGCAGCCATTTTTAATTAAGTAATTGATCCAACTCAACAGTGTCAGCGACCATCTAAGAAAATTGGGTGTCTATGGCACATTAATTTAACAAATCCTAAAGCTCATTAGTAATAGGTATCATAAGTATTGTTGGGCAGCACAATTATTCTATGATACTTGACATAAGTTTATATGCTCCCAAGTATCATAGACTATTAGAAGATATAATGGAACAGATTAAATTCTATGTTACCAAGAGAAACATAGGATTAAAACAAATATATCCTCTATTGGTTGCAAGTTTTCCAGATCATATAATATATAAGCAGGATCTTTATAATGCTATTCAAAAATTTAAGTCACCTCTACCAAACGTCAAGGAGATGCTCAAAATATGATCAATAAATTGCTTGAGTTACAGAATCAAGAATCCAGTTGGATAATTAAAACATGACTCAACCCATACAATAACTGACTTTCAGAATTATTTTGGATGTCCCCTACTTAACAACAATACCTTATACAATATAATAACATAATACAAATAGATAATACATGTCAAACCAACTGGTTTAACATGTATTTGACTCTTCTAGTTGTTGTTGACAATAATACTAAAAGTCAGCTCATTGCTCAATGTTTGTCAGATGATAAAACAACCGAAAGTTACGAGTAGTTTCTCGACTGTGTCCTTGAAGTGACTAATAATATTTCTCTAATTTGTCTGTTTTCTGATTCAGAACCCACTTTAATAAAAGCAATAATGTTAAAAATGCCTACTACTAATCACTTTCTTTGTATTTTCTATATATAAGAGAATATATGTAAGAATTTATGAAATAAATTGAGTAGAAATTATGATACATTTTATTAGAAATTCCTGTATACTAGAAACAGTTTATTTGAGAATAATTTTTGTTGCTGCTGGACATGTTTACTGGAAAAGTATTTCCAGACACAAGATTACCTTAATCATACTTTACAGCCTTATATTGGTGTGTAGGCAAAATGCTTTCAAGTGAAATTCTTCACAGCTGGAATCCAAAGTACATAGCGAGTTGAGGTTATAAATAGAATTATAAAAGAGGGTATTAATAGTACATCTTCATTATGTAATTTACATAATACAATTCAAAAACTGTTAGATAATGAAGCCCAATAGGCTCAACATAATTCATACCTTTAAAGCCTTCTGGTTAATCAGGCACCTTCTATAATTGAACCTATATTCCCAAAGGTGCTTAAATTGCTTAAAGACTATTTACCTTCTCATATTCTATCTATTCAGCATCAGCAAATACTTGGCTCTTTACTTTATCATGCAAGATTAATTTCTAAGAAGACAATTAGTATTATACAAGAAGTAAGTTATATAATATAATAGTTGTTTAGTTTAGAAAATAAAGCACTTATAAGTTTTTTTTTTTTAGGATCCTGATCAGCTCAGTTATAATACAGGTTTTCTTGAAGACCAACTTGATAGACCGCAAATAGCAATCCATCCTTTTTTGAATGGAATACAATTATCAGATGTTTTAGAAATATGGAAACTCTTTGGGCTTATAACAAAATATAAACATTTTATTGTTCTGCTAAATGATGGAGAACATTTATGTACTTGCCTGGCTATTATTAATTGTGGACTTGTATGTTTACATTATTTTCATATTATGATGAACTCAAAAGCTGCTAAGTTTAGTATTAAACTTATAGCAAAACATTAGTATAAGAATAATATTAATAACAAAGATTTTTAATCAAATTTACAAGATAGAACTATAGAAGCAGTAACTCAATTTCAACAAGTTAATTCTAATTGTGCAGTAGTTTCTGATTTGCATATTCTTGATCAGTTTAGAGTGCCGCATATGTTCACAACTAAAATCAAACAACATGTACAGAAGAAAGTCAAATTTGCATCTGGTTTTGAAAAGTTAAAAGCAGCACTTAATTTAGCAATTGATATGGGCTGTAAGGATGAATTTATTGATATGATAAATGGCTTTATCAATCGGAAGAAAAGTAGCATTAATAATACAAATAATGAAAACAATAAAAATTTGCATATATTGGATCCTTTGGTTCAGAGATAATGTGGACATCCATTATATAAATGTATCAAGTTATTAGCAGAAAATAATTCATATAATGCTAGCACTAAACGCAATGCAATTAATCCGATTGATCCAAATTTATATGTACGCAATACACATTCAAGATATGGTACAAATATTACTGTCCAACCATTACAACATATATCTAGTAACAATTTTAATGAAAATCAAGCTGATATTTCTACTAAAACAACTCAAATTATGAAAGAGAATACTGAAAGTACTGTCAAGCAGAAATATATATGCAAGATATATGGAAATCCTGGTCATAATTCTCGAAGGTGTGATGGTAACAGTAATAAATAGACCTGTATGTATATAGTACAAGATTTAATGAATTTTCTTTATTTTGTATAGCAAGAATAATTAGTTTGGTAATAGTAATGGTTTCAAAATTTAGCATACAGGGGTGTTTACTTTCTTTGGATTTTGTTTTTACAATGATAGTAATAGTAAAGCTTGTGACTCTTTGTGTTACAATTGTATTTCTTTTATCTGGTAATGTATATATGAGAATTAAGTTGATCCATAGCTTTATAAATATTGTAAGGTTTGATAATAGGGTTAGGATTAGAGTTCATGTCAACAATAATTAGTTGTAATAATATATGAAAGAACACTTAAGCCTGTTATGTATAAAAATTTCTGTTAAAATCAGTTAGTATTAGCATTTCCAACATCTTAGTTAATAATTTATAACTGGTTTGCTAATACTTCTATGTAGTACCTCTCAAAACTAACTTAAATACCTACTTTTTATCATTTTGTTATTTTTTTGTTAAACTAACTCACGCTATAAGCATAAGCCTATTGCTTGGCTGCCAGTTTAATTTTTTACTACATATTGTCAGAGGTAAAACCGACACCTCATAGAGCCTGCAAAATGGACGTCATTGTGGCATACTTACTTAATTAGAGTTGCCCATGACGATCCATCTGAAATATATGCGCCCGGCCCCAAAAGACACTATATGCAAGTACACAAGCCTCTATGTGGGACCCAACCACCCCTCCAATTAAAGTAAGGTTGACCTGGACCAACCTGTTGTGCTGGGAATAGACGTTGACTTCATCTGCCTTACTTGGGTTAGGTGTGAGGCAATGTTAAGAAGGGTGCGATTGAAGACAATACGATGAGTTCTGGCTTCAGGATCGAGAAACTGAAACATTTCTCATTGGTACTATGAGAGCTGTGAGAAATGTTAAAGTAACAAAAGGCTGTGTAGAAGGGGTTAAAGGTTATAACAAATAAGGTTGGGAAGTATTAGTAATAATGAGGAGAGTTGTGATCTTGTACAGGCTCTTCTCTCATTTAATTTATTATAAAACGAATGAAATTTCTTTCTCCCAAAAGACAGTTCAGGGAAATCTCAATACAGTCCAGAATAGTTCAGCATAGTCCAAAAGTTCCGAATAGCCCATAATAATACACTTGTACTGCTCCTACAAAATATTAATAAAAATTAATAAAGCTCTTTGATCTATAAAATTTCATAACGTTCTTTTAAAATCGTAATACTCATCTTGTAACATTCCTCTTTGATCGCCTCGACCAGTGCCAAATCGAAAAACCGCCTTTATTATCTTTAAGGAACGTTATGCAGCATAACCAATTTTCTAGTGACAATTCATCGCATTTGCCCCATCTCTGAACTCGTCTATTAAACCTGTCACAATATATATAATGATAAGTATATTTATACATATGTATTCTAAATATAATGCAGAATATTTGTGTAACTATTAAATATTTAATAAACATTATACTATATATAAATTGTGTAACTGTCAAATATTTTATATATTATTGTGGTCTGTGTCATGTGATACTAGTAATTATCACTGCCGGTTATAGTTATAAATATTTATTTCAAAATATTTTGCATTTGCAAAAATTTCAAAATTTCTTTTGGATTATTTTGAAATTTTTGCACTATGCAAATTCTTTCAAAATATTTCACATCTATAATTTTGCTGATGATAGAGGGTGTGATGTGAAAAAATACAAGCTTGAAAGAAGAAGATCAATATAATGAACAAAATAAAAAAAGGTGTTCGTGCAAGAAAAAAATCAAAGAAGAAGACAAAGAAAGATAAACAAGCTAAAGAAGAAGAAAAAAAAAGGAAATAAAAAAAGACAGACCAAATAAAGAAAGAAGCTTTGAAGACAATAAATATGCTTGTCACAAAAGGGAGAAGACCCTTCTAGTATAGCTTTAAGTAGTTAGACAAGCAGTCCATCCTTAACTAGGATAGTGTGGCAGGTTGCACTTAGGCGCCATTAGGATGGCCGAGTGATGCTAGACTTAAATGTTAGGAAAATCTATGTAATTGTATATGTATATAGTTTCAAGAATCTTAATAAAGTACTAGTGTAACTGCTTAAAGTTAAAAAAAAATATATATATATAAAAAAATTAACAAGAATATACAAAATATCAGTAAGATTATAAAAAAAAATACTAAAATTGTATAAACTTTATAAGAATATAATAATTTAATAATTAGTTCTAGAAGATGATAATTCTAGTATAATAATTGAATTGTAATTCTCTAAGCAGTAGGTTCAAAATTCAAACTCTACTGGCAATAAAAATTTGAAAAATAATCCTATTCTGGCAATTTGTTTGAATTATTTAGAATTATAACTCTGTAATTTTGGTTGTACTAAAACTAATTTTGAAAGCATGCATTATTATATGAATAAATCTAAAAAATATATATTCTATAAGAAGCTCTATTTAAAAATTCCAAAGTAAAAAAGTAGTACAATTTTTGATAATACTATTTGTAAAAATCTTGATCTGAAAACAGAAATTTAAACCAAATAACTTGTATAAGCAAGAACTCTAAATAAAAAAGTTTATTAATATAACTATTAGTTAAATCAGATATGAAGTTACATTATACAGAGCTAGCTAGATTGATAGTATAAAAGAACTTACAAGAGTATACAAAGTACTGATAAGGTTGTAAAAAGAGGTATTAAAATTGTATAAACTTTACAAAAATATAGTAGTTTAAAGATTACCTTGACAGCAAGTGTTAATCTTAATTATAGCAATATCATATTAACTGAAAATTGAGTAACAAAAGGCTCTAATAGGTTTAATACAAGGTCAAAAGTTCTTTATATAAGTGAACTGCTTTAAAAACCTAATGATTATAGTATATTTATACTAGTAAAAACTGAAGCAGTTGGTAAGGTAGTTAGATAAATGAATACAAAAACCAGAGTATTTAAATAAAGAACTTACAAGTAGGTTCTAGATATAGTTGCCAATATAAAACTTTTAGGCAAACTACTTAAATTAGACAATAACTAAAGTTGTATAAGTAGCTAGTTATATATTCTTTCTATAATTGCCTTCTATAACTATTGTAATATAATCACAAAGCTAAAACATACTATTAATAAAAGCCTAAATTAAAAGTACTTATTTTTAAGATTAAAAAAAAATAATAATAATTAGTTCTAATTAAAAGTATTAATTCTAATTATAGTATTGCTAGATCAACTATAAAATAGAATACAAAAATTTTAAAAGATTTAATACAAGATTAAAAATTTTTCATATAAATGAATTATTTTAAAGACTTAATAATTATAATATATTTGTATTAGTAATAATTAAAACAGTTAATAAGTATTTATACAAATAAATAAATAAATTTAAGAACTAAAATGTTTAAATAAAAATCTTATACATACAAAATTCACTCTTTCTGATAATCATCTGAACCAAACTTTTCAAAATGCTGAATTACAGAAAAATAATATAGTTAATATATTAAACTTTATGAAAACTTCTCTAAAGCACTAGACATGCATAATAAGTATTAAAATAGAGTTAAAAAAGAAGCTATCATTTTATAATAACAGTTTAAACTATAAAAAAGTGGTTGTTGAAAGTCAAAAGTCTTATAAAATAAATAATGAAGTTGAATATATTATTTCTATACAACTATAAAACCTATCTTTTAAATTATAACACAGGCAAATTTGTCTATATTAATTTTTTTAAAATTAATTTTTATAATAAAATTTTAACAATTAATTTTAGTAATATTCTTTCTAAACAAAAAATATTTTTAAAAACCTACTTTATAAACTTTATTAAAAAACTTTTTTAATTTTATTTAAAACTTTTAAGCAATTAAAGTTTAAAGGTTGTATAAAATTAGGATTTATTATTAAAATATTTTCAAGTTTTCTAAAATTTTATATATTTCTGAAACTAAAAAAAATTTTTACTTTTAAGACAAGTATTAATTTTTATATATAAATTACTAAACTTGTAATAATTAAAATTGTAATTTTTGATATATACTAAAAAATTGTATTAAAAATTATAAGTTTAAAATTAATATTTAAAAAGTTTATCATAGATAAATTAAAAAATTTTTTTTAAAAAAAATTTTTTAAAATTGTATATTTTTAACCTATAATTAATCTAATTTTTTTTCTTATAATTTAAAAATAAATATTGCAAAAAGGTAATTCTTATTTTTAAATATTATTATATCAAATTTTATTTAAATATTTTATTATTTTAAAAAAGTAGATTAAAGCCAAAAAAATATAAAAATATAGCCAAATTTGTCTGTTTTAGATTACAATTTAAGAGATAAGAAACTTTTAGAAGAATTAAATATTTATAAAAGCTATAGTTTGGTTCATCCCATGCTTTCTTTTTTTTTGAGAAAAATTTTATAAAAAGTAAAAGATTTAGTTTATCTTCTTCAAAAGATTAGTATATAAAATACCAAAACAGTTAGCAATATCTACTTTTTAATTAAGATTATCTAAATTATATAAACAATATAGCAATATAAACACAACTTATACATATATCTTAAATTGCTAAAACTTTATAAAATACTGCTTCTAGACTAACCAGTAACTATGCTAACTTTCTACATTCAAGTTGAAGTTTTATCTTATATGGTTTTTGTTAAATATTCTAAATAAATAAAAAATAATAAAATTAATTCTATTTAGTATAGTTTATAATTTTTAAAAGTCTAATACAGGCTTATAATTATAACTATCTAATAGTTATAAGTAAGAGTTACATATATCTTTTCTTTTTTCTTTTTTTGTTTTTATTCTTCTTTTATTTTTTGTATTATATTTTTTATCATCTTTCTTTATATCTTTGTATTTTTTTATATATAAGTTTTTTTTATTTTTATTCATTTTTCTAAAAGAAGATGTTATCAAATTGTCAATATCTAATTGTAGAATAGTGATCAGATGCAGCTCTTAATATACTTTAATTTTTATAAAATTAGAAAGTTAGACA